ATGTATAATTGAATTATGAAGGTAATATATTATCTATTTATACCGTGTAAAAGATGAAAGTTAATAATTAGGACCGAAACGGCAAGAACTAATAATTCATTAGTAATGAATGTAATGAATCGTACAAAATCATTAGAGCGGGAATAAAATAACGCTTTCATCGTCGTATTGAAAGCCTTATCTGAATATCGATATTATCTACGAAGTACGAATATTTTACGTTAGCTCCCTGTTTCATCGTCGACCATTTTACTTTGCGATTCCCCGGTCGTCTCTTTTAAACAATAGTGCGCGAACTGTACGTGGCCTCAATGCTCCATCGGGACTATCTCGATATTGCGACGTATATGCGAGTCGCGTTTGTTCTTTCTCCGATTTCGAAATCACGAGGATTGCGCAAAGATGATGAATTTTTGCTATAAAATAATACAAATCTGCGTAATACTTTTTATTCGTACCATGTAAATATTGGAGAAATATTTGCATATTTCTTTAACATCACATTTAGCATATAAAACTATACATAAGAGCACTTTCTTTTTATTACATAATGTGATTCTATACTTGACATTACACATACGTAGTTATATCATAAATATATGTACATATTTTGCTAAATTTTAAAGGAGAGATCTCTTAATACGTTTATTAAGATAAAACGAGGAAGAGATGGCTGCTTGCACAATAGGATTCAATTTGTTTTTCAATTCAATTTACGTTACGCAAAAGCGGTGGAATGTTAAATATCGGTTAAGTCATCTGAGATGTATCGCGGGCCGTGAATCTTACAAAGTCCTATCCGTCCTGCACGATACGCGTGCGTTCTGTCGCCGTTCTCACGCCGCAGAAACGAGTCCTCGAGTCGCGAGCGAGTCGTGACCGCCGATCCCAAGTCGTTCCAATTTGGAAAAGCGGAGCTGTCAGAATAAACGCGCGCGCTTCTCGAGGTGTACTAATAGGATGATCAGCTGAGGATCGTTTATTTCAGCATATTCGTTCGTCGATGACTCGACCGCAGAATAGAAGTCGTAGTCGTGCGAAAGTCGATGGTGACAGGAAAAAACGATGACGCGAGTTCCTCTCACGCGGTTAAAAACGGATACAACGCGATCCAAGGGGGTAACCACTAGCTGAAATATTGTCCCACAGATTACATGATTTCGTCTGATTACAAATAATTTTTTTCACTATATATGAAGTCATTTGGTAAAATATACGATTTTATTTAATATTACACAATGATTTCTCGTGGTTGCATATATAATTATCGGATTATACATAGAGATTTCATATGAATTTTATAATGATTTCGAGAACTCTGTCCCACGATTACATTAAGTGGTTACCCCCTCGACGCGATCGGTGTGTCCTCTCTCTGTACGAACTTATCCGCGTAAATGTTGTCTCGCTGGGTCAACAGCTGGACGGGCTAATCGATATCTATTCTGATCCCGAACGAAAAGACACGTGAGCCAGGTATTTAGCGGCACGCGGTTGCGGTCTGACAAAAAAATGAAGAGAGATAAAGATGAAAAATACAATACGAAACGAGATACAGAAAAATTGTATACTTTTTAACAAGTCATTCACTGTCAAATTCATAATGTCAAATTCAATTTGAGTTATTTTTAGCATTTCTATAGGTCGCCACTACGACTACTCAATATGTAGTTAATTTATCTAAAACAATAGAGTTGAATAATTTAAGAGATGTTTTTAAATTTGACTCAAAATTAGTTACTAAGTGCATACTATATAGTATGGACGTTGTTTACTTTGAAATTGAGCAATTCAACCACGAAACTGGATTAATTTGCATTTTGACACACAAAGAAGTTAAAAATAATAAAATGTTATCTAACTTAAAAGATTATGTTACCATTAATCCTTTGATATTTAACAGTATATTACACGCCGAAACGAAGGGGAGAACAATTTCACTCAGCTTCGAAATCATCGTTCTGTTAATTCTGTTTCTCGTTAATTGTTAAATTCTAGGAACCTGACCAATTTCCTTGATCATTCGTTAATTCAGTTACCAATTACCATTTCATCTTGAAGTTACAGCGTAATCCAATTGTCATTAATTTGGAAAAGGAATGGATAAATTTCTCAGAACATAATAGGTATTCTATACCACGCGCGCGATTATTCTTCGTAAAAAACAATACAGCCTTTAGAGAAGACCTGTCTAAAAGAGAAAATCTGTCTATTCGTTTATTAATTTATTCGCCAATTATCCTGTCGCTCATAATCGCGCGACGTATCATCTGGCGATGCCATCAAATGAATTGAACGAATGACACGACGTTCCAGCCCGATGTCAGAAACAGTCTTAATTTAACGTTCGATCGTTCGCAGGCAATGACGCCTGCCACGTAACGCGAAGGGCGTCGTAAACTAAGGGTAGAATATCGTTGTAGTAATATCAACCCCCCTGCAAATTTTCATATCCATTAGTTACAGTTGCTTGTTGAACTTATTTTTGTTACAATGTTAAACAACCTTGTGAAATTCTCCAATTATTATTAAAATATTTTCTACGTAATTTATTTTACGTAATGAATATTATCATATACATTTATAACATTTCGCGAAGCGAAACATTGTGGAAGTTGTAATAAAACTTGTTGCACGATTTCATGATTTACAAAACGATGAAAAATAACTTTGTGCTTAGCTATCTCGGTTAGTTGTCTCTAAAGTTGTTTTCCGAGATTTTACAGTTGATAGAATATGGAGAAGTCAGCTTTAGCTTGAGTGATGGCAGAGGTATAATAATAGATGGTGTTACTTGTTCATCGTCAAACTTCTAGAAACTCCTAGAAACTCCTCAGCTTTACAGCTTCAACATCGGAAACTTCAGTGGACGTTCATAAAGTAACACTTAGAGAGGAAATTCGCTCATTCTTGTTGAGAATTATTGAAAAGATTTGTCTTGCTGATTACAAAATCAATAAATTTATTACTTACAATTGCAATTTATGAAATCGTACTAAATTCTCATGAATAATTATATTTCTAATAACAACATATAAAAAAATTAGAAAGTAAAGTAAAAAAATTACAAAATAAAAATTAAAAATTAAAGAAATTTTCTGCACTTAATCGAGCATTTTTTGTACACGTATTCATCAAATACACCAACGCAACAACTCCCTTTAACATTTAATCGAAGCTTTTTGAAAATTTTCAATTAATCCATCTACAATAAATTTCAAATAATTCAAATTAAGCTTTTTAATAAAATTCAAATTAAACCACCTACAATAAATTTCAAATTCATTCTAAAAACGATTTATTCCAACGTTGGAGTGTTCCACATTCTGGAAGACTTCGATAAAAATAAAGAAAGAATATAAATGGAACTAGAAAATATTGTACTCGTAAAAGTAATCAGAGCAATTCAGTGTTATATGTAAGCGATAGTGAAGAGTATTGAGTTTTCGATAGCGTATCGAGTAACACGTGCTCGTTTTTGCTCGCAACCGATATAAAAATACCTCTGACCTTATCTGCGATGATTAAAATTGATCGGTTTACGCAGGAGTGGAGCGACTACGACAGCGCGTACCTGTTACGCAGCTTCAGTTACTCGACTTTTAACCTCTCGCATTCCCCTTCGAACATTACTGATTCTCAACTCGCTTGTGCGTAGCTACCTGACTGCCATTGACTCCGTCGTGTCCTTTCAATGTTTCTCGCCGATAGTATAGATAGAAACGACAGTACTCTCCAGCATAATTAGCATTAACTTTGCCAAGTTTTTTCAACATTCTTCTATAATATAAAAATGGAAGGAAAATTGTCAATTTAATTTGACTTTACGACGATCCTGATATTGTTCGCCGACAAGGACAAAAAAAGAACTTTAATTACACAGGTACATAAAAAATTTAATGTTTAATCCGGAGATTAGGTCATAGTATTCTTACGTATTTCGACGCTGTAAAATCGAATTTGGTGTCCAAATTGTTCCATCACGCCACAGTTTTTTTTTATCGACAACTCGATATTTTTTCCCGTATTTTTAGATCCGCACACACACATTTATCTGATTTTTAATATGCAAACCGAGGTAAAAGTGAGAAAGTAAGTTCAATATTCAAACTTATAAAATTAGTATGCAAGCTGGTAAGTTGAAAATATTTAACAATCGAGCCATTTTCTGTTGATAAAAAATTGTGACGTGCTCGGTGACGCGTGATGAAGCATCAATTTGGATATCAATTTCGATTTTTAAAGCGTCAAAATATATAAAAATATCATGATCTAATTTCTAGATTAAAAAAATTATTTATGTGCCCGTGTCCGCCATCACCAGTTTTATATCGATTCAAACGAGAGGAAAAGAGCAGCGTCTCATGAGACTTTAATGCTGCATTCAATATCAAGTATTAGGTTTAGTGGTACCGTAAATTACTATAATTGCTATTAATCTATTACGCAATGAAAAAAAATTTGCAAGGTAGTTTATTTCATAAGTTACAGTTTCGCAAAGAAAATAAACGAATGCGAACAAAGTCAAATATGATTTGGTCGATTTCGCGATTCAATAATTAGGGACGAGCGAATGTTGACTGGTGCGTAACAGCATCGAAACTTCGCGGCCATTATCTTTGCCGATGCCTTGGCGTGACATTCATCATGTCGAAACGCGGTATAGCGCATCAAATGCCAGCAAACGATCGTAATTCCTCTGAGCCCGGCGGTGAACGAAGACGAAAGGAAGAAGAGCACGGGTGGCGATGTCTCCTGGAAAACTGAGCGCGTTTCACTCACGGTCGAGCCGCCACTCGAAGCAGGGTCTCGCAATTTCACCTTTACCCTTACCCTTACTGCGACCAGGTGACGGCAACGGAAAGGCACGCGAGAGGGTTGACGATCCGCCGATTGAAGAGCCACTGGCTGGGGGGAGCGGGCACGTTCGAGAACCCCTTCATTGCGGGGTGGCTGGTAGGCTAGCAGGCAGGCAGCCCACAGTTGCCTCGCACACAGGTGAGGCCGGTATCGACCTGACGCCAGAAATACCGCGCAGCATCGACCGTCGTCGTTATACCTGGTCTCGCCCTCCCCCGCCCGCACCCTCTTCCCTGCTGCTCTTCTCCGCCGTCCACCCCCGGAGGATGCGACGGAGGGTGCCATATAGTCGATGGTGGAGGGTTTGGGGGCTGACGCACGGCATCACCACCGCCAATCCCTGGGTCCTGGCGGTCGCGGCTGCGCCCTGCCGCGCCTTCCGCGGCGAAACCGCCACCGTCGCCACCGCCACCGCCGTCGTCGTCACGATGATGAGAGAGGGCGCCGCGGCGATCCGGTGGCGGGGAGGACTTCGAGGGCAGACGTTCCAAAGCCACCCCGACGGAGAGACACGCCGAGACGCCCCTGCCACTGGGAGCCCTTCGGTCTTAGTAAGTATCCCGGCCGATTTCGTTCCCTGCTCCTGTCTATGTTCCTCGTGCTGTCCTTCCTCTTGCTAGCACGTCTCTCGCCCTTGTCTTTCTCATAAAGGGGTGCGTGTGTTCCCGCGGTGAAATTTCTCTCTGGGTGCTTTGATGCGCGACTCGCTGGGATCGTTTGACAGGAATCGGTAGCTTCCGGCACGATTCAGACATGACTCCTATGTATTTATCAATGCTTTTTCCTCCGCCTTTTTGTTGATTCTTTTAAAGAATTAGCCTCGTCTCCTGAAACCTCGTCGACCAGTTCGGGAAGATTTATGTTGAAACAACGATAATTGTTAAACGATTTTTCAATTTTCTCAGCTATTTCTTATTAATATTCAATTTTCTAAATTTAATTTATTCAGTATTAAAATGTTATTTTCTTATAAAGCAATAATTTTTTTGAATTTTTAACAAAATGTATTTTATATCTTTTCTGCAGCTTCTTTACAATGCACAATATTCTTTCACGATTTATTTTTCACGTTTTCTCCTGACTTGCTTTGCTTAAGTGTCACTTGGAACAATGGTTAGAGTGTGTGTGTGTGTGTATATATATACATATATATACATATATATACATATATATACACACACAGGGTGTATCTGAAATAACGCCCACTAATCATACAGTGCTATTCCTAATAAAAAACTAAGTCGAAAAGTGTTTTGCAATTTTCGTGATAATTAACAAGATATTAATTTCTAAAGATTGCCGAATAAACGAATAAAATCGATGTATAAGACAACTTTAAGATATCTTTCAGTGTTCCTTGTGAAAATATTTTGAAGATGTTTCTTAAAGAACTCTTAAAGATATCTTAAAGTTGTCTTATAGGTCGATTTTAGACATTTTGCTCATTGAGTAACTAAAAAAAAGTATTGCGAAAATTGCAAAATGGTAGAGGACTTTTCGACTCAGTTTTTTATTAGGAATAGCACTATATGATTAGTGGCGTTATTTCAGATACACACTGTATATATAATATATATATATACATTTTCACAAATATTACATTCTCCATATAATTATTTATTCTCTAATTTTGTGTCAATATTTTAGCCATAAATCTATCTCTATTTTTTGCAACAAAGCTGTTACAATTTGTTAGATTTTTAGTGCGATATAAATTTCATTCGAAAATCTAGAATATAACTTAAGTAGTACTATTGATATTTCTGTCCTGTTTTCTATTAGCAATTTTTAGAGAAAAATACCTACATATTTTTTTAGTTCAACATTTTTTTATGAAGTACTTCAGATGTTAATATTGCGATCCGACATTTTAGATCAAGAGATTCGATTTTTCATATTTTTATTTTACTAATTATGATTAACAATCGTTTAATAAAATAATATTTACTATCAGAAAGTGATAAAAATTAGGAATTGAAATTTTATAAATCGGTATACACTGTTTTCGTCAAGCCGGTTAAGTCAAATTCCTCACTATAGTTACTCTAGTACAGCTCGCTGTAATATTGTGTAACGCGGTCATCGTCGAAGGAAATCTCTGTGTTTTAGTTGAAAATTGCAATCACACGAGCGACGCAGGTAATAGGGGGATTATCCGCCGCAACCCCCTGCAAACAATGGCGCACCAAATAACACGTGGCTGCCAAATAACTATATTGCGATGTGGCGAGGGGGAGAAAAAAATTACCTTGGGAAGTTACCCACGTGTGTAATGTCCGGTCTTCCTCAAATGTGCATGGTATGGGGCACGGGACGTTATAGATAGACGCATAAACGCTAAATTTAAATCCGCCCATTGGTAACGCGTACATAAGATAATAGAAAGGTTAGTAAAAATTGTGTCGATAGTATATATACGATAGAATATGTAGAGTACGGACGCGTTGTACGATGTAATGCCTTACGCGCGATTGCGACGGGTTAAAAATATGATGATGATGAATTTTAACTTCTCGAAGGTCGACGGACTCTGTCCCACTCCTCCAACATCCAACTCCCTCTACGAAACGGGCATGAATTATACCTTCACATAACTGCATTATTAATGTGTGTATATAGTCCCGTAACGCTTAATCTAATGTTTTCTATTAGGGTTTTTGTTGTAGAAAAGAACTACTTAAACGCGGATTACTAGACCACTTGGCTGTTTTCAGATCACTAATTTTCTTCTTTCCTTTTGACTTAGTAATGACCTAAATTGAGGATAATATTTGAATAATGTTTGATCTTAATTAAAAATGTCACGAGCTGGAAATAATGTCATTTTTGTGGCACGGATTCGTAATTGTACCTACCTGTATTGGGGTTAATGAACGAATTTTTATCGCTGTCTTTTTTAACAGTACGCGAATTTTAAACAGTTGGAAAATATTGTCGCCGTTGCAGACTCGGTTGTAAATTCGATTGAAAAGGTGGAGGGCCCGGGGACGCGAGGAGTCAAGGAGTCGGTGAACGACTCGAAGGACGAAGACGGATCAGACGTCGCCTCGACTTTGAGCGGCCTGCTCGCCGGTCTTCCGACCTTGGCGGGCCCCCAACGCCTCGCCAACTCCCTGAGGCAGAAGTTCGCTAGCAACTCCGGTAAGTCGGTGATACGTTTTTTTTTCACATGCGGCTTTCTTTCGTACATCAGGGAGGCTCGTTGCCGTAGTGGAGCCCGTCGATCGATCGCGTTGCGCCATTAACGAGAGTCACGGCGACAACGACGATTGACAGGCGCCATTTCGCAAACGAGAAAAATCGAGCTATCACGTTATTCCGAATGATCGCCCGAGGTTTCAGTTTAAATGTTAGTCCGCGTGTTATTATAATTATTTACAATCGACCGCGCATCCTGTTACTTTTGTAAAAAAAACAAGCCAGAAATAATGGAATAATAAAACTGCGAGTCTCCGTTAAACAAAATATTTATTTTTCCAAAAAGTAAGTTAAATCAGGTAGACTGTTAATCCAGATTATCGAAAAAGAGTTAATAAGTGCATTTTTTATCAACTACACTTGCCAATTCGCAAAATGTTACTCCAGTTTTTTTTGCCTCAAATCTTGCGAGAAACACCATTATGTTACAACGTTATTGAAGTATAATTTAAATCTGCTATTTTCCATCGTGCTTTTGCGCTGTTATCTTGGCAGTTCAAAAGAAACATGAAAAGCGAAAAACTGTAGGAGAGATTCAAAAGAATTGGCGAATTGCGTCTCAAAGAAGAAAATGGCTAGTTCAGCGCAATTTTCTTCTGTTTTGTGAAGTATTTTGGCTATTAACTTTCTATGACTTTAATAAATGACGATAAATAAGATGCAAATTGAATAATCAAATTTTTAAATATGACACAATGATCTTTGACTGGATTATTTGATGTACGTCCTTTTTCTTATTCTTTAAGTAAAAAAAAACCTCGTACACTATCGTTCACTCTTTATTTTGCGTAATTATTTCAACGATCGACAACTTAACCAAAAACAATATCGCTCACAATTACTGTCGAGCTATTTCTTTCTGCACTTAACACTCGTGAGATGATTAGCGACGACCCCGATGACAAGCACGTCACATCGACCCTCGCCTCTTGTTTTCTCGACGCTTTTTTTCGTGCTGTTTTTATCTCCACCGTAATGCGATACACGATATAGTAAGGCTCGCTCAGGTACACAGAGTCGATCTCGCGGCGCCTTATCGTGGGGGAGCCTTCATCCGGTGTCGTGTTCTCTTTCACGCGCGCGAGAGGGGAGCACAGCCTACGAAGAAAAGCCGAGCCAAGTGCGGGCGTGCGTTTCCGTAACGTGTTTCTTTCCCGCACGCAAGACTGTAGTTGATGTCGGCGTGTTCATGATGTTGGCGAGGTTACGAAGTTGGGGTTGGGAAGGTTGAGTGATGGGTAGATGGATGTCGTTCGCGCTGACCACTGAGTCGCTTCTTCGATTTCGCGTTCTCGCGAAGCGGTTGTGTCGTCGCGTAGAAGCGCGGAAGCGTGTTTTAGCGCGTACACGTGCGCCTCACGTGAAGTCAATTTATTTCCGCGAGCTAATCGTTGCCAAATCGGTGATCTGTTGTAGGTTACCCCCGGCCCGGCCTGATGCGCGCCGCCCCAATCGCGACGATCTCCTCGTCACGCTCGCTTCCCGAGGTCGCACGACTGGTTGTGACCGCGGTTAGTCCCTTCCACTAAGACACACATAAAAAAATCCCGGAAGACGTCGGTCGCACTTCGCGGGCGACTACCTAGGAACCATGACGACGATACCGATACTCAACATGGAGTTCAGCGAGCTCAAGGAGATCGTCTGGTCAAAGCTGCAGGAGCCCAAGTCTCAGCGTAAGCTGATCCTGGTCATCGTCTCGATAGCGTTGCTACTGGACAACATGCTGTACATGGTGATAGTACCGATTATACCCGATTACCTTAAATATGTCGGAGCGTTCGGAGCGGTAGAGGAAACGGTCAACACCACCGGTCCATCTGGTCATCCCGGCCAGGATTCCGCCACGGGGGTGTTATTCGCATCGAAAGCGATCGTGCAACTGATGGTGAACCCATTCTCTGGCGCGTTAATCGATCGGATCGGCTACGACATCCCTATGATGATCGGTCTCTGCATCATGTTCCTCTCGACCAGTGTATTCGCGTGCGGCAAGAGCTATGGCGTGCTGTTCTTCGCGAGGAGCTTGCAGGGCGTTGGATCCGCGTTCGCTGATACCGCCGGCCTCGCTATGATCGCCGATCGTTTCACGGAAGAGTCGGAACGCTCGAAGGCGCTCGGCATTGCCCTGGCATTTATCAGTTTTGGCTGTCTGGTCGCGCCACCGTTTGGAGGAGCTCTTTACCAATTCGCCGGCAAGGAAGTACCGTTCCTGATACTGGCGTTTGTCAGCCTGGCAGACGGTTTTATGTTATTGCTGGTGATGAAGCCGATCAAGGAGCAGTTGCGCGATCGCCACCACGAGCCCAAGTCGACGATACCGATCTGGCGGCTGCTGATGGACCCGTACATCGCCGTGTGCGCGGGCGCCCTGATGATGTCCAATGTCGCGCTCGCCTTCCTCGAGCCGACGATATCGTTATGGATGGAGGACACAATGACGCATGACAACTGGAAGATCGGTATGATCTGGTTACCGGCCTTCTTCCCGCATGTGATCGGTGTTGTGATCACTGTGAAGATGGCTAAGCAGTATCCGCAATATCAGTGGGTGATGGCGGCGGGCGGCCTCGCGCTCGAAGGTCTCTGCTGCTTCATCATACCATTCTGCACCTCGTACAAAGTGCTGATGATACCGCTATGCGGCATCTGCTTCGGTATCGCGCTAATCGACACCGCGCTGCTGCCCACGCTGGGCTACCTGGTGGACGTTAGGTACGTGTCGGTGTACGGCAGCATTTACGCGATCGCCGACATCTCGTACAGCGTGGCATATGCAGTAGGTCCGATCATAGCTGGCGGCGTCGTTGAAGCGATCGGTTTCACCGCCCTGAACGTCGGCATCGCCTTCTCGAATCTGCTGTATGCGCCAGTTCTCTACTACTTGCGTCATATCTACGACTTTAAGCCGTTCCAGGATGAAGCGAACGTGCTAATGCAGGATCCACCTGATAAAGAATACCAGACGTACGTGCTGCAGGAGCAGCGACCGATCACCGGCGAGATCGGCAACCACCTGAACCAGACGCGTATGGAGACAAATATCGATCAGAGTTACGATCAAAACTATCAGACGGCAGGACAAGTCGGTTACGATCAGCGCAGTTACGGTATGCAGAACACGATCGGTTACAATCAACCCGCTCACGAACAACCACCGGTCTACAATCAACCGGCTGGCTATGGTCAACCCGGCGACTATGGTCAACAGAGGAATTACGCGGCCGAGCGTCAGGATCAGCGAGGCGCCCAGGCTGACGTGAACCCCTTCAGGAGGCCGGAGCCGGCGGATCAGCGGCCGGCCGGGGACAGCAACCCCTTCAGGCAAGGAATGTACTAGAGCGATGGTCGCTGCTGAGTGTCGCTGTAGCGATCCAACTGACCGAGTGCACGTCCCCTTCGCTCGAGAGTGTGTTCGAGTCTTCGTGACAGGCTTCCACGTATATCGGCAAGAGAGAGTCGTCGCGGGACACGGCGGCTTGGCGAAACTCCTGACAACGATGGCGATCGGGACGCTCGATCAAGATTAGAAGGTCTGGGGGATCGCTGATCGCGCGGTGTCCCGCCGGATCTCGATCGTACTCGGAGTATCGTTGGCGTTTATCGGGGATGGCAGAGGCAACGACTTCCAAAGTGATTCTCTCGGAGCTCTCGCGATGGCTTCATCTACGAATGGTGAATCATGACGGTCCTGGTATATGTTCGAGGTTCCGCGTGTAGCTGGTAATACGAATCGCGAGGAAAGAGGGGAAAGGGAGATAGGAAACGTTGCTGGATACGCGACGTTGAGATTGTAAGATGAGGAGCAGAAGTGGAAGGAAAAAGATCGGATAAGCACGCGGAAAGGACAGTGGCCGTCTTTGTCGAGAATAAGGACTTCAAGGAGAACAACTAGTCGCAACATCGAAATAAAATTAGAGTGAGAAGATGGGGGGGGGGGAATGTGTCGGTGTTATGGAGGAAAGAGAAAAGACAACGTCCTTTATTCGGGATGCGAGAAATCATTGCGCAAAGTGTTAGAAGGAAAGAAAGAGGGAGTATATACGACCGCGACGAAGGCTTCCCATCAGCAAGGACCTTCGTTCGCGGATTGCCGCTGGGCAAGTTTTGAGTTTTTAACGCTTTTTCGTTGAGAATCGTTCTACATTGCTGAACGGAAATATCATATCACTAATTAAGGCATCAGAAATCTAGAAAGTAAGGCTTTAAGTTAAGTAGGCGATTGTGTAGAGGGTTGTGATTTGCGAGGGCGGTCGATTTGCCCCACGAATCGCTCTGTATTGGCAAAGTACTCTCGTCCCTGTTTCGATTTTTAAATAAATTTTGTTGCTAAGAAACGCCATAAATGATACGTTAATAATAAAACTTAGATTACGAGAATTGTTTTCGGTGATTCAAACTTGAAACTTTTAAGTATGCATATATATTCTAAAATTGTTAGTTATGTATTTTATTATTAATATTAATTTTTTCAATGGTAGAAATAAGCATTATAAACATTGATAAAACTGGCAAGTAATAATTAAAGTCGTTTTATTAAAGATATTTTATTCTAGGTAATTTTCAGAATCTGAAAACTTGTTTTATATTGTCTCTTTTTTTGTACTTATTCATCGTTTTTAAGAACAGGCTATATTTTAACAAAATCTGAAGCAATGTCTTTTGCAATATTACTCATATCAATAAAACAGATATTGCTATCATCGTTAGAAATTCGTTTAGAATTCTGAACAAGTCGATTTCTATTTTAAATAATTAGAAATTGTTACATTATTCGTAATTTTAATTATCTTAATATTTAATATTTCAAGAAGGTGTTTTTCTCTAATT